CACGTCAAGCACCCCCACCACCGTACTCCGGTTAAACACCACATTTTTTACTGCAATACAAGTATAAATACAAGTACAGGTGCATCTCAATAAATTTGAATGCCATGGAAAAGTTCATTTATTTCAGTAATTCAGCTCAAATTGTGAAACTCGTGTATTAAATAAATTCAATGCACACAGACTGAAGTAGTTTAAGTCTTTGGTTCTTATTAATTAAAAAATGCGAATCATTCAGTAGCCTAACGAAACACCGCTGACGCTGTGTGTTGCTCAGAGATGCGCTACAGTTCTGCTGCTAAATTTGTTTGGAACTATTTTTGTTAAACAAATCGAGCAAAGACAGTCACATTGACATTATTGTACTAAAATATATGCCCTAAGTCACTTAATATTAACTACTCGTTTGAAGTCTTGTTTAAAATCAATGTCGAATTTACAATCGTACTGATTTTCGGGGAAAACTGCACTCTCTTAGTCGTGTCATGTTAATTAATTAGGCTAGGCTTTATGTAATAAATATAAAAACTAAATTTTTTACCGCAGTATGTTTCTTCTGTGTGCAGTTGTGTTCATTTGTCTTTGAAGTTTTGTTTAAAATCAATGTCGACTGCTAAAACTGCACTTTAGTCGTGTCATGTTAATTAATTGGGCTAGGCTTTATGTAATAAATATAAAAACTACTTTTTTTACCGTAGTGTGTTTCTTCTGTGTGCAGTTGTGTTCATTTGTTTCGATTTCTCCATGAGATTGTCTCACGTGAGTCTCAACTGCCGCGACCTTGTTACTATTGATTATCCATTATGAATTGCCGTTTACACCAAGTGTAATAAAATCTGAATAATTCTCGCCGAAATTTTGGTGCTTCCCTAATTCTATGTTTTAATTAGATTAGATTAGCTGTCCGGCCGGGCAAGTAAAATTCTCTTTCACTTGCCCCTTCAAAAAATGCACACAGATCATCAAAAGCATTCTCTCGCGCACCCCTGCTGGTCGGTCTGGGCACCCCTAGGGGTGCGCGCACCCCAGTTTGGGAACTGCTTTAGAGGGTCATTCCATGCAAATTACCTTCTGTTCCCATTGAGGTGTAAACCACCCAGGTCTGGGACCTGGTTAATGAAAATTCCAATTGTTTGTACATGCCTCCATTTGGGGGATGTTTTATCTTGGTTGTGTATTTAAAGGGGTCATATGATGCCACCATGGATGAAGCCTGGGGTCGTCTCACGTGCTTTCTGCTCCTTCGTCGGATCTGCCGGCTGCGCCGTTCTCGACCCCGCCGCCTCTGCTCACTCTATCCCGGCCTCAGCGCACGCTAAACCGCGGATTCCGCTCACGCTAGGCATTTATTCTGACTTACTCTGAAATTATTTTCTCAAGTAGAGTAAGTGAAGGCGTATGTTTCGAGAAGGGTCTGGCTGCAGCTGGCGCTTGCACTCTGACACTTGCACTTCCACTAGCGACGTCACTTGCAGTCTTTATTATTTTTTATTTTGTTCTATTTATTGATTACTTTTTGTTTGAATCTCGTGTCGATTGCAAGTGACGTCGCACGTATCGGAGAGTGCAAGTGACTTCGTAATTCAGTTTATTTTTTCTTGTCTTCACCACCTGGCTACTGTTGTAAAATGTTGAGAGATTCAAACAAAAAGTAATCAAAAAAAAATAGAACAAAATAACCCCTTTTGTATGTTTCCGCAAATCTGCGTCCAGGGTTAGTACATACTAGATCTCAGGTTAGATTGGGCATGGCGCACATCAAGTGAGATTATAGATTTCTGACTAACTGCTTGACTAGTTGTACTCAGTTGCGTTAACTATGGGGGGCTAGTCATAGTACTGGTCATAACCGCTGGTTATTGTCTCAGCTTTAATTAAGTTGTACGTAGTTATATTAGCTATCGGGGGCTAGACAAATAGTACTAGCATAACCGCTAATATTGTTTGAGGTATATTCAAGTTGTACGTAGTTATTTTAACTATCGGGGGGCTAGATAAAAATACTATTGAAATATTAACATATTTCATAGTACTAGCATAACCGCTGATTATTGACTCAGCATTAGTTAAGTTGTACGTAGTTATATAACTATCGACTGGCGAGTTTGTGATCGTTCGTGGGGCCCACGTGAGGCACCCTGAGCGACATCGATTCCTAATGAACGAGTAAATATAAAGCAAAGAGTTAACTAGAATAACCAAATGTCCGAATAATAGTAATAATTAGAGACAGACAAACAACCAATTTGCCTTTCAACCTAAATTCGAGGTCATATTAAAAATGGAGTCAGATTAGATAATAAAATGGAGTCAGATTTGAATTTAACCTAAAGTGAATAACTTTGCGCACTGTAAAGACCGAACACGCAAGAAACCTTCAGCCATCACTGGATACCTTCCTTGGGCCAAAAATAATAAAAAAAATAAATAAAAAAGAAAGAAAAAAAAAAACTTTCTTGGGCCAAGTGCGTGGACCTTACAGTTTTTATTTTGTATTTGAAAGCTGGAACATCATCCTCCAGCAAGTACATGTAATTTATTATATTTGAACATGTTTTGCTGCTATGTTAAATAAGCGTTAATGTTGAAATGAGCACAGTGAAAATGTGAATTATTGAGCCGAAATATGTTTGCAAGAATGAACAATTGTTGAAAAAAAAAACGAGGGCCACACACAGGTGGGATTACTAGTTTTAATAAGATATATGGTACAAAACATGATGGAAATTCAAATGAAATACTGTAGTACTATATTAAATAACATTTTTTTTTTGAAGTGCAATAAAATTATTGTAATTATAAATATATATATTTTTTATTTACTTTCAAACAGTTTTGTAGGCTATACATTTAATTAAAAGGTTTGGCTACATTTACAAAAAGGCATTACAATGCTCACAGATCATCTTAAAATTAAATCTTGGACCTCAAAATGGTGGCATTCATCTTACAAAATCAAAATATGAGTAATTACGTTTTAGGATCAACAAGCAAAATGGGTAATACATCCCTACTGTATGTAATCCTGAAAAGGGGATTTTGTGAATGTGCAAGTATAAGTGTCTGTTTTTGAATGCTTTAAATCAGGGGTGCCCAAACTCGGTCCTGGAGGGCCAGTGTCCTGAAGAGTTTAACTCCAACCCTAAGTAAACACACCTGAACCAGCTAATCAAGCTCTTATAGGCATACTAGAAACTTGAAGGCAGGTGTGTTGAGGCAAGTTGGAGCTAAACTCTGCAGGACACCGGCCCTCCAGGACTGAGTTTGGGCACCCCTGCTTTAAATGCTTCAGTTTGAAAACATTGAAAACTGAAAGAAAAAAATAATTATTGTTGGGCCAATAGATGATGCCATTGTTCTTCGTCGATGGCTGACAGACATCACAATGTTGAGCCGGCATCATGATTCCTTCCAATTTTCCTCATCAGAAGTGTCCGCGTGCAGACCAATTTTTGTGAGTTTACTCAGCGGTTGAGTTTGCTTTGAAAGCTGTGCGGATGCGGTAAATGAAGTATACCTGGGTCCTTAGTGGGTCAGCTGCTGCAGAGCGTGCCAAAATCGAAATTGCTGATGAGATTAAGATGAAAATATCTAGTGGAAAATGAGAATGTTACGTCCCCCTCTAAAAAATGTAATAGTTCTATAATATGAAGCGTGTAATTGTTAATTATAAGAAACTGCAGATTATTATCATTAATGGAGTCCCAGTGTTTGTGCTGTTTTTGAAAAAGACTGTTCCCATTGGCTCAGACAATCCACTGGCTGCTACTGCAACAACTGAGCCTTTGAGCCAGCTTCTCTCTGAGAGGAGAAGCATCCATAAAGTAGTCCCCGACTATTTTTCCAGAGGAGGGGTGCAAATCAAGAGCTTTAAACCTCAACTGCTCCCCAGAGAGTTTGCTAGACTTCAAACCTGCATTCTGTTCCCTGACTTTGTGCACCGTCAAGTTGCAGCTCTGTCCGTAAAACACACTCTGTGGTAGTTTGACCTCTTCTTCAGTCCTGGTTTGACAGGTGAACCTGACGGTCTGAGGGTCAGGGGACACATTGGGGTCTCCTAATGGACTGTGCATGGGGCTCCCGGGCCCCCTGTAGAAAAGGCCTTTTCCTTTATGTTTATGCATTTGAGTGGGAGTCTGTGAGAATGTTTTTCTGCTGAGTTTTTGAAAGGCCTGCTGATGAGGAGGATTTTTGGGCACTTTACATTGTAAACTAATTTCAATATCAGTGACGTTCCTCTGATGATGTGGCAGAGATGATTTTTCATTCGGCAAGCTGTTTGAGTTTTGGTAGTCTGCGCCATTTTGAGCGAGCAAATCAGATTGTCCCTTGTCTGGAGAGTTCTGAGGAGAATGACGAGTCATACGGGTGGACAGAGAAAATGGACTGTCTATTGAACTCACAGATGAGTGTGTTGGTGAAGTTCCTGTCGATGACACATTGGAGGTTGGTGGAGTTTGTTTTTCTCTCATGAAATTCAGTTGTTGAAAGCTTTGTTCCAAAAGCAAATTATCA